AAGAAGAAGAAGAAGAAGAAGAAGAAGAAGAAGAAGAAGAAGAAGAACAACAACAACAACAACAACAACAACAACAACAACAACATTTTTTTCTGGAGAGAGGGCAGCTTTTGAACCTATTTCTCAACAGGTTGCCCGACGTTGTGTCGAGTCTGACTTACCTTGCGATGCAATAATTGGGCTTGGGGAGCCGTTCCTCCTTCTATCTCAAAGCGGACGCTGTTAAACAGGGCGAGGCCATATTGTTCCTGGTAGAATTGGCTAAACTCTGTGAGGATCTTCTCTGTCTTCCCTGCAAAAAGAGAAGGAAAATCTACATGAGAAGGGACAGAAGTTTGAGGTCAATGTGTAAGTCATACAAACACCAGTCTAAGCAAATCTGACCACCATCCTTGTCTGGAGTTGGAAGCCAAGCAAGCTGAGATTTGACCAGTAACTGGAACCAAGACCTTCAATCAATCAATCAGTCAATCAATCAAGCCGAATAGAGCTGGAAGGGACCTCGGTGGACTTCTAGTCCAACTCCCTGCTCAAGCAGGAGCCCCTATGCCATTCCAGACAAGTGGCTGTTCAGTCCCTTTATAAAAGCCTCCATTGAGGAAGCACCCAGAGCTTCTGGAGGCAAGCCAAATCATCTAAAGGACTTAGTTAAGTCTCAAGGCTGACTCAGCCTTCCCTCCTTCCGAGGTGGGTAAAACGAGGACCCAGATTGCTGGGAGGGGGGCAGAGGCTGACTCTGTAAACCGCTTAGAGGGGGCTGTAAAGCACTGTGAAGCAGTTTATAAGTCTAAGTGCTCTGGCTGTTGCAAAGGATCAATTCTCAACTACTACTAGGTGCCGGGAGCTATAGTTCAGAACATTTAGAGAAGACAGGTCACACCCTGAATGCAAACAACACCCAGGCACCCGCAGACATGAAATCATGCTGACTCCTCAGGGGTCACTTCTGCTTGCAGAGATTCCAGCTTACTCACTCCTTCCATGGCCACCAACTGCCCCCCCCCACCCCCCCCCCCCACCCCCCACCCCCCCCCGCAGGAGAAAGAGCGAAGGCTGCATTCCTAACTCAACACTGCAAAGTGCACAGAGCCTCAAAAGAAAATAAATAAATGGTTTTGAGAAATGTCACAATCCACTTCCAGGCCCGGTAGGGCAAAGCAAGAAAAACGTTGGAGGAAAATGAGGGACTATAATATATAGAATAATAGAATAGAATAGAATAGAATAGAATAGAATAGAATAGAATAGAA